GGTTTTTCACAACCTCTAAACACTTACCGAATTGTTTATCAAGCTTACTCGTTAGATGTCTATTAGGGAATGGAAGCTTGATAACTGGGCTCTGCACATCTCCTCCCTTATCCTGCGATTTACCCTGCACAGAAACATTAGTAGGGTTAGTATCTATTTGTAGCCTGCATGGCTAGCAGGATTAGCGTTTGGTATAGAGGAATCTAGATCAGGAACTGGTCTATCTTCCTTTGGCATAGGAGGTCCATCATAATGTGAACCACTCCTTAGAGTGATTGCATTGGCATGATCTGTAGGATGGATAAGTTGTGATGGTAGAGCTCCCCTGCTGACGGGATTGTAGGGTAGATGAAAGTTGTGCAATTTGATTGTCCATGATTTTATTGTGGGCTAGGATAGAATCAATTTGTGCATCCCTACTCTCCATATGATTTTGCATATTGGTAAGCATTGCTCTAATTTCTGTCATGGAAGGGTCGGAAGATGATGAGGGAGATGCTTGGCTTTTCTGGCCAGAATTAGGATGATAATATTTTTGCTGTGGTGGGGTTTGCTGTTGTGGTTGTTGCGAAGGTGGAGGGTTTTGTACATTGGTGCTCCGGTATGAAAGATAAGGATGATTTTTATAACCGGCATTGTAGGAATTGGAATAGGGGTTATTCTGCCTATAGGTTTGAAAGGCATTAACTTGTTCCATAGAGCTCCTACAATCTTGCTCCCAATGACCTACAATTCCACAATTTTCACAAAAAGCTTCATTGTTAGCAATAGCAGAAACATTAGCTACAGAGTTGGGAGCAGCAGTAAGATTATCTAATTTTTGACAAATAGACGTTAATTGAGCTTGCAAAAAGGATACAGAATCGACATTATGTTTTCCTTTATTTGCAAACCCTCTCGGATTCCCATATTGGGAATTGTGTATTGCTATGTCTTCGATAACCTATCCTGCATCGTCCACATTAAAATGAACCTCCCACTAGCTGCCGAATCTAGCACTGATCTAGAAGAATTTCCAAGACCATTATAGAATGCTTGGATTAATTACCATTGTGCTAGATTGTGGTGGGGGCATTCTCTCTGTAGATCCTTGAACCTCTCCCAAGCCTCATATAACGTTTCGTCGGCCTCTTGAGCGAAGTTCTGAATAGTACTCCTTAGCACCGCTGTTCTCTCTGCATGATAATATTTATTATAGAAATTCAAAGCAAGAGTTTCCCAGTCAGTAATACCAAGTGCAGTTCTATTCAAACCATTAAACCATAATTTAGCTTTGCCACATAATGAAAAAGGAAAAATAATCTCCCTGATTTGGTCTTGTGTGACCCCGGCTTGTCTGGTGGTGTTACAATATTGGCAGAAATCTGCGATGTGAAGATTAGGATCTTCACCCTTAGCTCCACTAAATTTCTTCCTCTCTATCATAGTGATAAATTGGGGCTTGATCTCAAATTGAACTTCATCTAGAGCCGGAGTGGGAGTAAGGTGCGGGAAATCTGTGAGCTTCGGTTGCGAGTAGTCACTGAGTTTCTTCTGGGCCGTCATCTCTGATTCTGAATCTGAAGGAATATCTGTATCACTAGAATCAGAGGGAGGATCTCTTCGATTGTTGTCCTCCTCAGAACCCGCCAGAATTTGTCTATAGTGTTTCCTTTGCCTATGAAAAGAGTGCTCGATCTCAGGGTCGAATGGGATGTAACCTGATCTGGAACACCTGGGCATAAACAAAGAACTAAAAGACAAATATGAGAATTGCCTCAAAGAACTAACGTTCTCTGAGGCAAAAGGGGATAATCTAGACTACAAAAATAAAATCAGAAAACAAAAATAGAAACGTCTCCCAGCAACGGCGCCAAATTTTGACAGGGTAAAGTCGTATCCCCTAATCAAAAATAATACCTAAATCCTCTAACTAATGTAGATAGGGAAGTAGGATCGAACTCCACAAGGAAACAAGTCTTTTTACTCCTAATTATTTGTTATAATCTAAATTATCAAAGTAACCAATATTTTTGGGAATAAATTCTATACTATGAAGAAAAGGTTTAGGGAGAAAAGAAACAATAATACGGAAGCCTAGGGTCACAGGTTCACCAATAATTAATATTCCGGGATAAAACGAAGTAATTAATAATTAACATTGCACAAATAACATGATTAACAGGCTCTTGCAATTTATTAATCAACATAGATCTAACAGGCTCTCGCAATTTACTAGATCTAAGTTCCTATTGGAAATAGCCTTTAATATTAAATTAACATCTGCTCAATTCATCAATTCAATATTGCTAAACATTCACAATCAAATTACATCTGCTCGATTCATAATCTAATTGCAAAGAATTAAAACAATTCAATAAGAAATTATCATGCAATACCAATAATCAATAATAACAAATTATCCCTTCATATTAGTTATGGATCCCCATAAACCCTAGAATGAAACTACTCACGCATCATCCTAACTAAACTAATCAAATAACTAATTAAAAGCATAATCAAAGAAGTAAGTAAAATAGCTGAAATTAAAAGAGAAGAAATTGTTACCAAAAGAAAACTGGAATTAATGGAAATAATTAAGAACAAAATTTGAAAGAGAATTTGATAGAGAGAAATATTCTAAGTAGAGAGAGAAAGTCTAAGAAAGAAGGTAAGCAAAATTCCGTACAAAAATCCTACTTAAACGTTTTCTAAAACAAAAATTAAGACTAAACTAATCAGGTCCTATAAAAACGCGCGCCCGATCGGGCCCGCCTTTTTCTTCGCGTCCCTTCTCCGCAGCATCGCCCGATCGTGCTAGACGCTCGCACGATCGAGCGCGCTATAAGACATGCATAGCACCAGCAGCGCCGCACTCGATCGTGCTAGAGGTTGCCCGATCGGGCCCTTGCTTCACTTTGAGGCTCGGACTTCAATTGGGCTTGATTTCTCGGCCCAATCCGGATTTCCTCTTCGGGTCTTGAATACTCGGTCCAAATGCCTCGGGATCCCAATTACCAAGCCCTTAATCACCGGCTCGATGACTCTAACCGGCCTTGGGCTTCAAAGATGGTCGTGCACTTCTAATTCCCGTACTCGCTCCATGAAAACTCCGAGAAAATGCTGCAAAGGCGTAATTTCCTACAAAACTCAACAAAGACTATGAAAACACTAGAAAACACAAATTAGTAATAAAAGTGGCTCGAAAGAGCCAAAAACACTAGTAATTATGACCAAGGGACGGGGGTAAATTACTATATAAAATGGATACATCAATGGTCCATTTGAGGTGTTGAAGAAAGTGGGTGTTGTTGCATATCAGTTGCAACTACCAGAGAGATTAAAGGTGCACCCAACGTTCCATGTAAGCTACTTGAAGCCTTACTACGAGGATGCGGAGGGTCTGCATCCCGCTTTAACAAGGAACCCACCAACGATCCGAAAATAATTCACTAAGGATGTGGAAAAGATTTTAGATCGGAGGGTGTTGGGTCAGAGTAAGAAGAATCGCCGAGTTAAGTACTTGGTGCAGTGGAAGAATTGCCCCGAAGCTGAGGCTTCGTGGGAACGTGATACTACGTTATGGCAATTCGAGGCTAAGATTGAAGAGTACCTGACGAGGGCGTCAGGATCTTCAAGTGGGGGAGGTTTGTAAGACCCCTTTTGGGTCATGTGCGGCATGGCGTGCCTAGGCAAAGGCACACTGCGGCTTGGCTATGGTGCTAGGCCTTGTACATATTATTATAAGACCCTACGGTGTGGTTTATAAGTAAATAAAGGCATATGGTTGCCTCTATGTATTAGCTTGGTAGGCTAAGGTTAATTGGATGGGCATTGGACCCAAGGGTTGGGGCCAATAGTGCATTATTGTGTTTCTGTCACTAGCGTGTTCACTAGTATTATAAGCGCAGAGTAATATAAAGCTCTTTAGGGAGAAGGTGTCAGTCATGGCTTGGTGCGGCCATGGGCGCATCATTGGCTAGGGCCATGGTGCATGGTTTTAAGGATGGTATTGGCTATCTAGGACTTGGACACAAGGTTGGCTTGGTACTAGTGGGCTAAGTTACTTGGGTGTGAGCAAAGGCTCGTGGCGAGCCTTTGTTACTGGGTGCATGGCGTTGGCTGCGAAGCGACGCGTCGGTTGGGAACCGGCGTCATTGCGGAGCGTAGCCAGCCAACGGCATGGTGCAGCGAAGCGATGCGACGCTTGGGCCATGGTACGGTGTGGCGAAGCAACGCAACGCTTTACTGATGCGTTGTTGCGAAGCAACACGACCCTTGGACTCTAGCACGGTGCTGACAAGGCAGCACGTGGGTGCTATGCTTAGTGGCAGTTGGCACGGGTGTTGGGAGTTAATCCTTATGTGAAGAGATGATATGGAAATGCGAAGCAAGGCGTTGCTTGGAGCAAGGAGCAATTATGAAAACGGTTGCTATCTGTGGATAAGTATTGAGATGCTCAGCCAAGGCGAAGCGACACTTCACATTGTGGATCATGGATTGTGGGCAAAGGCATTCTGGATGAATCGAAGAGACACGAGTGATGATGGTGGCGATCCGCAACGATTAGCTAGGATTGCTGATGGTGGCAATCCGCGACGGTTGGCTAGGAATACTATCTGCGACGCTTCGTGAGGATTGCTGACTTGTAATAGTTTACGGATAATTGCATGAGCGCCACTTGGCGCGCATGCGTGCTTAGTGTGTATTCGCATTGGAGGAGGTTATCCTCCTTTGCCTATAAATAGATGACTTTGGGGTTTGTCCAAGGCATCCAAAAACTTCCGTGTAAGTATGTTATTAATGATATTAATAAAAGTAATGCTTTGTGATATATTCTAAGTGTTCTATTGTGTTCATTATGTTGTGCATTGTTATATAAGTTAGTGTGTGAGTTTGGCTGGTTAGTAAATCTAGCGCATCATAGTTAGCCAAAAATTAACTGTGACACCTAGCATTACCCAGATAAGCATATTGGCCATATATGATATGACCCAACCCAAACCCGATCTAACACTTGATTCGACAACCCATTATTCCATAACTAAAATTAAGTAAAATCATTGAGTCCACAGCCTACGATAATCATAAGCTGAAACATCGAGATAGATGAGCTTATGCGCCTATGCTGCTGTATGAGTTCAATGAAATAATGCAAGCACTACAATATATTTCCACAAACGGTAAGCTATAAAGAAAAGAATGACGGGCATGATGCCTTACTCAATAGATGAATTGCAGCCCAAAAAATACAACAATGGTAAGAATAACAGTCTTACATAACAATGATTATAATCCCATTCCTTACTTCTAAGTGTAAGAAGCCTGAATCTACTGACGAGTTTTAGCTATCTCAGCACCGTATACCCTGGTACGATTTTCATCAAAAAGCAACATGGGACTACGAATTCCAATAATGGGCTTTCCATCTTTCAACCTTTGAAAATTGAATCTGGACTTATTGTAGAAGCTCATCTTATCAACTTTGTGTTGTAGGAGCAGCAGTTTAAGCATTTATGTGCCAATACATGGTACTGGACTTCAGAATTAGCCTCACAGTCGTTGCACAGAATTTGCACCTAATAATGTCCGCAAGGAAAACAATTTAGGTTGCATAAACCAAAACTTCTGAAGTATACTTTAAGTGAATAATCACTTACCATCCTCTGACATTCTTCAGGCAATAGTGTGGTTGCTACCTGGAACATTGTGATTTATGGGATGCCAAGGTTAAACCCAGTGCACAAGAGAGAACAAAGACATGAAGAACTGCTGGTACAGAGAGTATACATATGGACAGAAGCAGCTTGAGAAATTGAATACAAACCTCTTCATCGAGTTTCCTCCAGACTTTCGACATGTCACACATAGACTTCAAGCAGATAGGGCATGCATACCTGCAAGAGTAGATATCAAATGGCTGAAAATAGGTGCCAGAAAATTGTTCACTGCCATATTAAAAAAATTAGAAACCACGTAACTACTTCTAATTTTTGTAGCTATATATATAAGGCTGTAGAAGTTTTATGCAAGGTTATAAGTTCAAGACCAATTGCCTTTTTTTCTATCCTTATTCTTATTACTCTGAAAAAGCATAAAAAATGAAGTATCTACATTCTACCAAGAAGAAGATATTGATTCAGGGAATCTCAAGACTCCAATCGAGCTTCCAGATTTTTCAGAACAGTTATTATCTGTAAACTGTTATGAGAAAATTTACAGATTGATAGCTTAAAAACTAAATGTTTAACAAAAACCAGTGCGAAAAAACTTAAATCTAAAGATCAAGGTCCTGGATTTCTTACTGATAATGCTGTTCCATCTGTTTAGCACATTCCAAATGCATTGTATGCCCACAAGAAAGTACACTGATTTCCTTGGTTGTATCAAATATATACTGCAAATATAGATATGTGGCAGCAATGTTGATGACATAAACTCAACATACTGAAGTATTTTTTGGATCATTTGACAGACAAAAGTCACAGAAAACTAAAGGAAAGAATCGGACGAAGAATCCCAACCTCACAACAAACAGGGCAATTATGATGCATTGCTTTCTCCAAGCACTTGTGTGTACCCTTCATAATCTTTGGATAACAGCAGCCTAATCAAAGTGAGATGTAAAACAGTTACAGATTTTAGAACCGACATAAAAAGGCTTAGAGAGTTTCAAGCAAGGTTCTATGGTCTAACCACATGATGAACAATGAAAGAAGTTCTCTTTGCCTCCGGTCCTGCACAAACAGAACCATTCAGAGATGGGAGATGAGTATAAAAAATTCACAATTCTTTCCAGTAATAAAACCAGTAACATGTGATCAAAATAACACAACAGCCTACATTTCAGAGATTAACTAGCTTAGGATAAAACTTTGATTAAAAAAATTGCCAATTTAGTGTCTGACCATGACAAATATTATGTAACTGACATTACAGTGGATAAAACTATGAGTCGGTGACACTGATGCGAACTAGAATTAAAAGCATTGACCTCAAATTGTTTCAAAAGAAGACTAACACTATCAAAGAGAAGTGACCATCATCATTGCTGAATGCTGGGATTGAATCCCATCTTAGCAACCATCCTATTTAAAACTAATATATGCTTCCTGACAAATCAGGTTTTTGTGACTATTGTTCCATTAGGCTGTCACAAATACATTATTGTTTGATTTGTTCAACGCTACATCAAACTGTGTTCGGAAATATGTGCTCAATATAGCCTTTCTTCTAATAAATAACATAGTTAAGAGGGAGGTTTAACAATAGATCAAAATTTCAGATGAAAGATGTAATATAAGTAAAGCCACTTAGCCACATACCTGCAAATTCCACAGTCATCACAGTGGTACTGTTTCTTAGAGACCTGAAACCCAATAACAGCAATTTTGTATCAAGATATACCCTGTAATTGTCAGATAAATCATATCTAGATCGAGCAAGCAAGCATAGCTATTTAAAATTTACTAAGATGCTTACGTCATCATCAAAGAAATTGCATTTTAAGCAGAAGTATTTCCCCATAATAATCCCACAATTAGTACAATTATGTTGAACCTGCAGCAGTCCGATTACACATGAGTTCATTCTCTAAGGTCCTAATAATACTGAATACCAGTATCCATGTTTTAAAATTTTAGAACTTACATCTTGTTCTACACCACAAAGGGAGCATATCACCTGAAAACAACCACACAAAGATACATTACCAAAGAAGGAAATGATAAAACTGGTGACTGAGCAATATAAAGAATTAAAGAGTACTACTCCTCCCTTTATAATAGGCCATATTTGCTTGGGGGATAACCAAGGAATTGAGAACAGAATAACATAGTCATCAGTTATTCACTAAATGTTTTTATCTCCATCAACACATCAAATCAATGCTAATTTTCATTTGAATGTTGATTAAGCGTAACCTTAATGAGTGACATGGGAGAATCAAAATTTCAACTTTACTATAACAAGAATTAAAATGTGGCTTATTATAAAAGGACAAAGTAAGTAGAATTTATGCCCATATTTGTCATTTAAAGAGAGATGTTTAGTGCTGATATGAAGTTCAACTTTCCATATAAGTATGAAGATCTAATTAAAGCACATTGTTAAGTTTACTTAATGACTTCATTTGTTACAAGCTTACAATCTCATTGACAGTCAAGAAAATCAAACATAATCATCAACATGTACTTTTTTCCTCAACTTAGAACATAAAATAAATCAATTTAGTTTGAAATTCAGATAAATTCAGTTAATGGTGCAACTATTTGTTGTAAATTAAACTTGGGTAATCCTTATTTTTCCCGGTCTTTAAACCTTAATTGAATGTATATGGACTTACATTTTCTCAAATAAGTGAAATTAAGTTGAACAAAAGAAGACTTTGTCCAAATATGTGATAATGAAATGCACCCTTTTTTGGTTATGCCGTGCATTCTAAAAAAATGTTGTTATTTACCATGAATTTGGTCATCAGATTAATACATTTCAGTAAAAAGAATTTGGAAATTGACAATCGAATAACAAAAAGGGCAGAGGAATCCAAGTATCTTATGATATGAATGAAAAGGGCTCATAACCAATTTTTTTGTAATGAAAGAATCATGGGATTTGATTCCCATCAAATTCAATCCATCCTTTTCCACATTATGAAGCATTACTTTCCTACAGTTTTCATAGTGAAATCTTTATTCATTAGTCATTAGCCAAAGTAGCAACCTTTTCTAGCTAAAAGGAATAATTAAGAGTCAGAACTTATAGATAAAATTAGCTTACACTTCTAATCTCATGTCGAGGAATATCATGTCGATCCAAAGCATCGATTTCAAGAGAATTCTGAGCAATTTCAATGCAGGAGCAGTGTCAGAGTTCAGAACAACAAAATTCAAGTGTTATAAAGAGCTGTAAAATTAAACAGCTAAAATATCACCTTTGCTTCATTGTGGCAATGTCTGCAATCAAATATCTCATCACAGCAAGGTGCTCTAATTTTACACCTTCTCCTGTAGTGCCTGCATCTGAATCCACAAATCCCAGTTCAAAGTTAAAAGATTAGGGAATTTCTCACAAACCCAAAATCAGAAAACTAAAGAAACAAAAAAGGCAGATTTTAACAACAATCACAACTAACTAAATAAACCCCACAAAAGAAGACTTAAAAGTCTTGATATCAGAATGTCACTACAACAAAAACAATTACTCGATCCGGAATTAGTTGTGGCATTGTCACATTGTTCCTACCTCTTATAACCAACAATAAGAGAGATTTTAGCCATTCTTTCTCAATATTGGAAGATAGTATACGTGATTATTAATCTATGGTCTGATATAGATCTTATCCGGACATTTTAAAATAGTAAAGTTAGTAAATTTAAGTGATTCAGTTGGGGAATTAGGTGAAAGTATCAGAAATACAATCAATCTAACAATCACACAACATCAAAGGAAACAACCCCACTAAAATGCAGAAGAAAGTAGATGATTTAAAGATGAAAAATACCCATAATTCCCAGATGAAAGCTCCATCAAATCGACAGAAGAAGATGATGAATTCACTGAAATTTGTTCTGGGCAATCCATGATTAATTGCGCCTCAAACCCAAACTTCATTTTTACAATGTAAGATACTTCAATAAATATCAATCAATCAATTAATTAATTTCAAAAAGTGTAAAATAGTTGAAAAAAAAAAAAAAAAAGCTGATAAAACAGTGGTTAAAGTGTAAAGGCTGCGATTTTGAAGAGTAAATTTATATGAAAAGCAGGAATTGGTCGACAGTACTAATTGTATTGGAAGCGCGTCAGAGCTGACGTGGATTGGATAAAACCTACCATCATTATATTTTAAATTATGTTTAATGATTAAATGCTTAATGATTGTCTTACAACATAGCAAAAATAAATAAATAAAATAAAATGATTGTCTTACAGATGTGGATATGTTTCTGTTGGCTAAACCCTTGGTTTTTTTCTTGATTTCTTGTAACGCAATTACAAGCTTTTGATGGATGACATAAGATATTTTTGAAAATTGGCATAATTTTAGGAAAAGTTTTGTTAGGTTTGTCTAGGTTGATCTCTTGATTATATATGTTGAATCATTGTTTGAATAAGATTAGAGTAATATGAGCTATATGGGTTTAGGTCACGTAATGCCTCTAATAACTTGAGTTATTAATGATTCTAATAATGTTTGTGTTTAGAAATTGTGTTTAAATGGTACGGAGTATAGTATCATCATGTTACAAAATACCTCTTCATTAATAACAACAAACACAAAATGATTTGTTAGTATCAATAGATTTTTTGTTGGCCTTGTTTTATGACAATACCATCAAAAATTAATTTTATATCAACGAGTGTTATTAGAGTTATTAATGACTCAAGTTATTAGTGACTAAGAAATGCTCGAGAACATAGTTATATACATGAATAGACTATAGACTAATGAGTTGCTCTATTTTAAAAATGAAAGAAAAAGGGTTCATGCTATGCAAGGGTCTATTATTTGAAATGTCAACTGCACACGATATTGTATGAAATCAAGTAGCCTAAAAATTGATGTGGGTTTTGTCTGATCATGTCTACTCCCACCTGGTTCATGTGTACAAAGAGCATTATATCAAGCACATTTAAAGGTCACATGCTGTTATGTCATGTCGTGTCGTGTTGTGTCGTGCATTGTGACCAAGACAAAATGATTTATTTTGCATGTTTTGTCTTACTTTTTTAAAAACAAAATATGGCCCAACATGTTATGTCGTGTTTTTTTTTTTGTTGGGCCTTGTCATGCCATGGCTAATACGGTATAGTGTCATCTTTAGTCATGTCTAACCAGTGAAAGATACGACATAATTTAGGGCTTGCTTCGGAAAATGATGTTTAATATATTTCATCCAACACTACATTGAAAACATATATTGAACAAAACTAATAATTTGCATTTAATATAGTTTTTCCTATATATCAAATACTAGCATATAGATATGCTGAAATATGTGATGTTGATATGAAGAGCTAAATGATGTGGATGGTTGAGGTTCAGAATAGTTAATTTGGTTAATTTTTCTAATTATTGGTTTTGGTTTATTTTACAAGTCAGAATAATGATACACATGATAAATAGCATTATTAAGTCGTGGACTCAATAACATAGGGTTAAGCGTATATTAGGAGTTTGTGTTATAATAATAATAACAATAATAATAATAATAATCGGGGTCTTCACCTTTAACACAATCGGGGTTGTCTGACTTCGTTCCTGGTCCTGTTGTGTCGGCAGCGGCTCAGCGGAAGCGGGACAGGTATGGGGCGTGTTGCAGGGCTATTGGTCTGGCTATGGTTTTCTTCCTTTCTCCTTTTCTTCGTTGGGGGAATTAGAGAAGGGTGATATTGCGTTGCTGAATCGGGTTCAGGCGTTCGCTAAGGCTGGTGCTCGTGCAGCTGCTCACATTTTCAGCAGGATCGAGTTCGCTATAGCTAGAGGGGTGGGGGCCCAAATTGTATCTCGGCTCCCCACCAATTTCTTGTAAATTGATTGACTTTGTAGGTGTTTTGCAATTTTTATAATAATAATAATAATAATAATAATAATAAATATTAGAAGTCATGTTAAGGTTTTATTTATTATAGAGATTTTTTTTTTTTTTTGAACGATTATAGAGATTATTTTAGTTCAATTCTTATACAAGGTAATAATGTAATGTGTTTTTGACTTTTTGTAGATTAATAAAACAATTTTAAAAAAAATGTGGAATTTATTCAGTTTCAAGAGTAATACACAAACATCAGATATTTTTTTAAGGAGTGGATAAGATTAATAATTGAACACCTTATTCAAGAGTGTGTGTTCGCTGTGTTTCAAGAACCAACTAGTATTTAGGCTCGGGTAATGCCCCGAATTTTGCATTAATTCCATGAGTAAAAAATAGATTGATTAGAACCATTGGATTATAATAAATGACAACAAAAAATGCACAGTACTTTATTTATTTATTGTCTTCTATAGTTTTTAGAAGGAGAAAAAAAAATAAATAAAAAAAAATAAAACGGTCTCTAACACTTTGTTTGGATAGGAAGAAATGGAAGGAAAAGAAGAGAAGAGAAATGGAGGGGGACAAAATCTCTTGTTTGGGTAAAAGATTGGGGGAAGGAAGGGGAAGGAGAGGGAGGGATCCATTTTCCCTTTCTCTATAATAACCATAATCTCTCCAAAATTGGAGAGATTTGGAGGAAAAATGGAGCTCACCTCCCTTTCTTTTCCCTTCCCTTCCTCCATTTTCCCTCCCCTTCTTTTCCTTCTTTCTTTGCTATCCAAACAAAGCGTAAAGCAATGAGGACAACGACATGCTATCCCCTTAAAGCCGATATAGTCCAATTCAATTACAACCAAAAGGCCTACACGCCAATGGATTGAAAGGTCCTCTTTAAAGCCCAACGAAAGTCAAAGTACATCAAGGCTTTAGTGCCAAGGCCTTACAATACGTTTGGATAGAGAGAAATAGAGGAAAAGAAGAGAAGAAAAAAAAGGAGGGATGCATCATTCATTATGTGGGTACAGGGGCGGATCTATTAAGGTGCATAGTGAGTCACGTCACTCACCAAAAAAAACTAAGAGACCGCCTATTACAGATAGGCGGTCTCTTTGCTGCTTCTATTTGAGATTAACCCACTGTCAGTTTTTTAAATATCAAAGAGACCGCCTATTAAAATATCAGATAGATGGTCTCTTAGTTGCTGTTATCGCCACCACGTCATATTTTTTGCGCTGCTTTCATATTTCATTAAAGAGACCTGTTATATTTAATAACCGGTCTCTTAAGTTATCTAACTTTTTTTTTTTTTTTTATAATTCTTGTTTTTAAGTGAAAAATCATAAAGTTAGTTTAATGTAATAGTTTTATAGTATGTATTTTTAGATCCTATTTTTGGATTGAAATCATTTTGGTGAAATATAATTTTTTTATATAATTTTTGGATTGAAACAAGTGATCAATTATTGATGGTGACTCATAAGTTCGAAAATCCTGGATCCGCCACTGTGTGGGTACCTAATGCAATAAGGAAAGGGGAAAGAAATGGAAGGATCCATTTTCCTCCCCTTTTAAATAAAGAAAGGGGAAAGTGGAGGTATTCGGAGGGGAAATGGAATGTCATCTTCTCTCTCCCCTCACCTCACCTCACCTCACCTCACATCCCTTTCCATTCCCTCTTTTTCTTTCCGCTCTCTTTCCCTCCACTATTGTTATCCAAACATAGTGTTTAAGGATTTTTTGACATTAAAGTCTCAATTTCTGACACAAGTCACGTAACATTTTAGATCTTGAACGTCAAATTTTAGAAGAAGGTGAAAGTTTTCACTTTGAATTTGGGACTTGTTGTTCAATGCAATCTTAAATAAAATTCGGTTTTTGGAATTTGAGTCCAATTTAATATGAGATTTCACCAAAACCAATCTAATTATGGACTAGTTAGTTTGGATTCAATTTAAAAATCCAGATCAATCAAACACATCTTTTTTTTAGAAGCCTAAACAAAATTAACCAATGAATCTTATTCCAAAAAAAATTAAAAATAAATTAACCTTTACAAGCCTAATACTAACCCACAAGCCTTACAAAATCCTTGAAAACTAACATTACCCTTTCTCAAGAGTATAAATATGGAGTTAAAGTTAAATAAGTATAAGTTATACACATTTTATTTCGTAATAATCACAATATTTTTTCCTTTTACATATGTTTTATAATAATTGCAACACTTCTGATTTGGTAAGGACCTATTATTATTTTATTATTCCTCCCTCCCATTGATTCTACTTACATAAATATTGTATTTTTTTTCTCTCTCCTTCTTACTCCAATACCTTATTTATTTATTTATTTATCTATTTATTTATTATTTCTATCTAATAATTAAATACTCTTCGCTTACTATAATTTATGGTATAATATTCACTCTATGATCTATACCGTATAAATTTCCTAAAATTTTGTGCAAGCCCTGTTATTGCAATTACATATTACGAAACAGAGGAAATAACTCGTAAAATGTATTGATTTATATCTTCGAATTGTTCAGTTTTTAAATCCAAACACCCTTAATCAATTCCGATCTAAAAATTCAATTTTAGAAATAATTTAAGTCCAATATTATCCAAAAAAAAATTAATCCAGTATCAATTACTAAATCGATTTGGATTGAATTGGACTTTGGACACAATCCAAATTAAAAAACTTTCACCCTTAAATTCATCCATTTTGGACTTTGGTAGATTATACAATAACCATAAATTAAAATGTAAGCTTGAAATTGTAAGCCCAATATATGAGGTTCAAAACCCAAGATCTCATACTTGTAGGCCCAAATATTATAAATTAAATCCAAAAATCTATGGCCCGAATTCCAAATTTTGTGGCCCGAAACCCAAATTTTAAAACCCAAAATTGCTGAAATAAAATAACAACCCATCCTATTTTCGATTTTAATGACGAAGTATAAGAAATTAAATTAATGTTTGTGATTATCGGCTTGCGTAGAACACGTGAATGCATGTGGTTCATGCACATTTGAAGTATTAATAACAATTTTTTAAAAGGAAAAATAATAATAACATCAATTTAAATTAAAGATTAGCGACATGAATTAAGCCACCTGCAGGTGGCATGCTTCACCAATAGCACCATATTAGGAAAGTACTAACCATAGATTAATTAATTAATCAATTAAATTACAGGGAT